TCTGGTGCTTTTCTCATCCTGCCCATTGACAGACTGAGACGACGAACCAGGGATGACATCATCATTATTCTGAGATGAATGGTCATCCATGTCGTCTTCTGACAAAACATCCATTTTGTTCAACTAGTGGGAGCGCAAAACGCTCTCCCACTGAACGCACAGACACAATACACAGAAAACACTACAAACACAGAAATACAAAATGAAAATTTAACTAATGGAGGAGGAAGAGAAACAAAAAAAAACAAAAACTTATCTGATAATTCTATACTACTACCACCGAGCGTTATATGTGTAGGCGTTTACACAGATAGCTGGAAGAGACGAGCTGCGTGGATGACCTTCGTTGTGGTGCACTTGATCGAGGCTCGGTACTCAGCGCACACAGGCGCACGATGATTGATGAACGATGTAGATGTAGAAACGGGTGCTCACACTCGATGATGATGATACGTAAGCGGGTATGCGTGAGCGCGTATGCGTGACCACGCAACGATGATGCCCAAATTGGTTTGCGAATTACCAATAGCACGGATTAATCGTTCCGAAAATGACACTTTCTACTACAAAAAAACTCACTTTTCGATCAATTTACCGGGAACTATGCCAGGAGTCACTTAGTGAGAAAAAACTGATAATTTATATCAAGCGAATACCGAGAAAACTTCCAAAACAACGGAGCGCGAAACAAGTCGACCGTACTTCTTGCTAGGACGCAGTGAGATGCAAGAGAGCAATTTGGGGCCGCTGTTATTCGCGTTGTTCTTCAATGATGTGTCCCACGTTCTTCTGAATTGCTGCTTAATGTTCTACGCAGACGATTTAAAAATCTACCTGGTTGTTAGGAGCACCGATGATTGCCGTCAATTGCAACAACAGCTAGATTTGTTTGTCAGTTGGTGTGCACTGAATCATCTAGCAGTCGGTGTGTCCAAATGCTGAATCATATCCTTTCGAAGAACGAGAAATTCTATCCTACATGACTATACTATCAATGGCACTGTACTGAATCGGGTTGATCATGTTAAAGACTTGGGTGTGGTACTGGATCATCAACTCACATTCAAAATGCACTATTCGGAAATAGTTGATAAAGCAAATCGTCAACTTGGATTTATTCTCAAGATAGCGAACGAATTTGATGACCCTCTGTGTTTGCGATCTCTGTATTGCTCGCTAGTAAGATCAATTCTTGAATTTGCTTCTGCCGTCTGGTCTCCGAACGATGCTGTGTGGATTTCACGAATCGAATCAGTGCAGCGGAAATTTGTGAGATGTGCTCTACGAGGCTTGCCATGGATCGACTCATTACGACTACCACGCTACGAGCACCGCTGTGCGCTGCTTGGTATTGAACCGCTAGTGGAAAGACGCAAGTTCAGCCAAGCTATCTTAGGAGCCAAAATTTTACGCTCCGAAATAGACTGCCCTGCATTGCTGAGTCAGCTCAACATCTACGCCCCTCAACTAGTGCTGCGATCTAGACAGCTATTGCGCCAGCCAACGAGACGAACACAGTACGGATCCAACAATCCCATCGATTCGATATGTCGAAGACTCCAAGACAATTACAGCTTGTTTGACTTCAATATCTCTACCAACGTCTTTCGAAACCGCCTACGGAATCGACCAGAATGATTTTGATTTTTCTGTAAAACGCGTTAAAGTTTTTTTTTTAGTTAAGTTTTATTCATTAAGACCACGATGTCAGATGGATTTATACAATAAATACAAATACAAAGACAAAGACAACAATAGACCAAGGTTCTATGGCAAACTAATACCCACTTTTCAATTAGGGAATCCAAAAGCTGTCTTTAAATGTAATTTTTAGAACTCTATGAGCTCTATTGAAATTCTTCGCAAAAGTTCTCTGGAATTATTTTTAGAACTCTTCTTGACTTTTACTCAGAACACCTTGGATCTGAAATTGCCTTAGAGTTTCAGAAGAATTTCCTCAGTATTATCCAGAAATTATTCACGAAATGAGCTAGAAATTATCGGTACTCCCTAGAAATTTTCCTCAAAAACCCTTTGGAATTTAACTCAAAATTTATTTTTTTCGGTCTTCTTCGGAATTATCTTGAAACTATTTGCAGGATTCACAACAAATTATTCGCAGAATTTTCTTTGAATTCTCCCCAGAAATATTTTGAAACTATCCTAAGAATTCAATATCCTTGAGGTTCTTCTCGGAATATTTTAGAACTTTTTTTTTTCTCAGAACACCTTGGAGCTGAAATTTCCCTAAAGTTTCAGAAGAATTTCTGGAGAATACGGAGGAAATTCTTCTGAAACTTTAGGGAAATTTCAGTTCCAATACAGAATTTCCTCTGTTTTCTCCAGAAATTCTTCCCAGAATGAGCTTGAAATTATCCTCGAAATTCCCTTGAAATTTTCATCAACATCCCTTTGGAATTTTCTCAAAATTTAATTTTCTCGGTATTCTTTTCGAAATTATCTTCGAACTATCTGCAGGATTCACTAGAAATTATTCGCAGAATAATAATGGAATCATCCCCAGAAATCTTTTCTTTTGGAACAGTCCTCAGAATTCAATACCGTTGAATTTCTTCTCGGAAGTCAAGTTTAAGTTGTCCGTCCATTCACCAAAACGTTGAAGTTTTTCTACCAGAAATGTTCAATAAAGCTTGCCGCTACATTCACCAGAACTGTGCAATTTTTACATCAGGAATTTTCAATACAAACTTGCCCGCAGGTAATTTTAGACCAGAAAATTTCAGTTGACCAGCATGGTGGTAATTTTCCACCGAAAATCTATACATATAAAAATGAATTTCTGTCTGTCTGTTCCGAGCAGGAGAATATAACTAATGAATACTCAATTTTGATCTGATACGTAAATTTTGTATTGACCAGCATGACATAAGAGGTAAAACCCCAAAGAATAGTACCAAAAAAATACATGGAAAATTCTTTGCAAATACCAAAAAATGATATTTGGATACCAAAAGAATGCCTAAGAGATATTTTTTTGGTATTGCATCATCAAAATTTGGTATTGGAATGGTATTGTGGGAACATTTTTTTTTTGATATTATTCTTTGGTATTATACCTCTTATAATTATTACCAATTTAAGGTATTGAGATATTTGTTCCTGTTCGGGGTCTGACCCTTATAGACTCGGAAACTACTGAACCGATCGGCGTGAAAATTTGTATGCAGCGGTTTTTGGGGCAGGGAAAGGTTCTTATGATGGTTCGAGACCCCTCCCTCCTCTGTAAAGGGGGAGGGGGGGCTCCCATACAAATGAAATAGAAATTTCTGCAAAACTCGAGAACTAATCAAGAAAATGGAACCAAATTTGGCATGTGGAGGTTATAGAGGGTAGCCCCTTAGATAAGATTGGTAGACCTTTTTTAATTGGCGCATAAACTCAAGCTTATATTGAATCCCGAGCAAGGCCGGGCACACTGAGCTAGTGTTCAATAAAAATTGCTTCCCCAATCTTTTGATTCGTGCAGATTTCCTTTTTCTATTTTCTATCAGACATTTTTAATACATCTGGCTTCTCCTATCATCAGAATGTTGCAGATTTTCCACCAAATAAAGCTTGCCCCTATTTTTGGATTTTTCATCATAAATTTTATAAATTTTCTGTAAATCATCAGAATGGTGCAAATTTTACACCAGAAATTATTATTAAAATTTGTTTCTCTATTCAGCAGAAGGATGCAAATTTAAGAACAAAATTTTTCCGAAAAGCTTGCTCATTTGTTCACCAGAACGGTGCAGATTTTCGACCAGAAATTTTCAATAAAGCTTAATTTTAAATAAAGCTTGTACCTTCATTTACCCGACCTGTGCAAGTTTTCCACCAGAGCAATGCAAATTTTTCAATAAAGCATGGTCCTCCATTCACCAGAACGGTACACCAAAAATTGTCAGTGAAGTTTGTTTTACCATGCACCTTTATGGTGCAATTTTTTGGTGGCAAATCAATCATGCACCAGAATGGTGCAGATTTTCAGCCATGAATTTTCAATGAAGCTTGCATTCATCAGAACAATGCAAATTATGCACCAGAAAAATGAATAAACCTTGCTTCTACATTCACCACAGTGTTGCGAACTATCCTCCAGCAATTTTCAGTTAAATTTGCACCTCCAAGTTTGTAGTGTCAATTTTTCCACCAGTGTTATTCATTTTGATTAGTCTCTCCATGCACCACCTTGATGATATTTTTACACCAGAAATATTCAATAAAAAACTTTTTCTACGATTTACCACCACGAAGGTGAATTTTTTCAACTTTAAATTTACCCTCTTTTTTTAACCCTCCATGAACCACCTTGAAACAAAAATTACACCAGAAATTTTTTGTATGCACCACTGTGGTGCAATTTTTTTAACAAAAATTTTCATTGAAGTTTGTCCCTTCATGCGCCTTTTGTGGTGCAATTTTCAAGCACCATCTCGAAGGAATTGGCGCAATAAAAGCTTTACAGTGCCCTTATATTATGAAATGAAGTTATTTTACCTTCAAATCAAGTTATTTTATATTCTAATTTTGTAAATGTGAAAACAAAAATCTTTTTTATAAAAAATATATTTATATGCCCCACCCTGCCACGATATGGAATTTACTAATAGGGTTTTCGTTTATGTTCATTGGAATGTTTTATTCCATAGAACTTGAAGGAGCCTTTTGCTTCTTCCTTGTTTAGATGATAAATTAAAAGATAATGAGGTAAAACTAAAGGTATTTACCTTCAATCTGTGTTAGATTGGATATTTACATGATTTTTTTTGCGTTTTAATCTGCAAAACAGTATCTTTTTACAGCGGTACGTTCCTTCACGCCGGAATATATGCATTTTTGTTTGGAATGCCCTGATGGGTGGTATCGTGGTATGCCGTCGGGTAACTAAACCGATCTCCTAATCTGGAGGAGGTGGTCATACCAAGACATTTTGCAGCTGTTGTCTCCTATGCAAGCAGTGAATCACGAAGTCTCAAATGAAAACGAATCGGAAGATACGACCGACACCGAATGCAGTTCCTGCGACGAATCTATACATGAAGAAATGGAAGAAACCATCGTACGAAGAGATCCAGTCCTTTCAAGATAACTGGACGTGAACGTTGGGGCGCTTCCAGATGGACGAAAGGCAGTTGACTGCAATTGTCTGTATAAGCGGAAGTTGGTCGAGCATCCCGGAAAAAATAACCATACAATTACCATAAAATAATATAAAATCCCAATAAAATCTATTGCCAACAATCGATCCTATTGTATGTATATGATACAAGTAAATTTAAAATAGTGTTATTACAAAAGATAATATGTTCCATAGAGCATGAATTTTCAACAATAGAAAAACAATAAAATTAATGGTAAATAACTCAAGTTTATTCGTGAAAAAGTGATTTTCTGTACGGTTAAGATACATAACAACCCCCTTGTTCTATTGTAGATTTCCACATTTACCATAGATTCTATCGTGGAAACTATAAATTATATGGTTATTTTATAGTTGTTGACAATACAATTTATTTTAAGTACAATAAATTCTATTGTATGGTTACAATACATTTCAGTGTACCTGTATCGTTCTTTGTTTACGGGATGGGCCACACTATACGATATAAGGCGAGACCGGTCGCACATGGTTTTAGTCAGAAGTTCAGCACTGACTATGGCCAGGTGTTCGCTCCGGTGGCAAAACAGGTAACATATCGTTCTTTGCTAACCTTTACCACGCGTTGTAAGCTTCTAGTCAAGAACGTCGATATTAAAACGGCCTACATGGAACGCTTACTGAAGACGTATACATGCGTCAACCGAAAGGGTACAAGACTGGGAAAACCTCTACGGTCTGAAGCAGTCCGGACGGATTTGGAACCAGATGATTGATGATTGTTTCAAGAAGCTGGGTTTTCTCCAATCTACTGCTGAGTTAGAACCAAGGGTGAGAAGCAAGCGTTCATCATTCTGTACATCGACGATATGTTCATCGTGTGTGAGACCATGCCGGAATATGAAGCTATCCTGAAAGCGTTATCTAGGAAATACAAAACCACTTTCCTTGGCGATGTCCGGCGGTATGAATAAGATGGAAGTGTTCTGCTTAATCAACAGTGTTACATCCAACGACTGGCCTCGCGATTTGGACTGTTAATGGCGAAACCATCATCCATCCCGATGGACCCAGGCTATCTTCTAGCAAAGGAGGAGGAGTCAAGTAAGCTACCAAACAATACGTCGAACTTTAGTTTGGTTGGTGGTTTGCTCTACGTAGCAGTCAACACGAGGCCGGATGTGGCAAACAGCGCGTTTCTTTGCTTTGAAGGAAGGTGAGTTTACCAGATTCGATTGACTGGACCGAAGCAAAGCGTACAATGCGATACCTGTTTGCAACGAAATTTTTTTTTTGCTGGACTTGAGAAATGCAAAAGCTGACCTGAAGGCTAACGCGGATGCGGATTGGGCAGGCGATCATCTGGACCATAGATCCTGTTCACGCACATAAAATCGATGGTAATCGCCGGTGTCTCACGCACTTAGTTCCTACACGCAGTGATATCGTCACTATGAAAAAGCACCTTGAATCGCGGTTAGAGATTTCACACCGCAAATTTTCGAGATGGCTCTTCGGAAGACTCCATTGCTTGTGCGCACTGTTACTAGCCGGATGTTGTCGTAAAAGCCTCGGAATATTTCGGTGACTCGACCAAGATTCCACTTCAGCGGTGGTAAGACCATAGTTCCTATGTCACGTTGCCTTGTCCATTTCGTGCGATTATGCAGGTCCGAGAGATGCAGAGTAGTTCATTTTTCCCACAGCGTCCAGATGTAGTTCTGCAATCTTTGCCAGACTGAGAGCCGATTAGCAGAAAGATGCTCCAGGTTCGACTCAGCGATTGCTGTCAGCGGTCGTTGAACTAGAAAATGACCTGGTGTGAGCGCTTTGAAGTCTCCAGGATCGTTACTAGCTGGAGTGAGGGGTCTGGAGTTCAAAACCGCTTCGATCTGTACGAGAACTGTCTGCATTTCGTCGTAGAGCAGAGTTCTTGTTCCGATGGTTTTCTTGAAGACGTTCTTGAAGCATTTTACGGCAGCTTCCCATAAACCTCCGAAGTCTGGTGATCCTGCCAGGATGAACTTTAAGTCAATTCTCTCCGATGCGGCGTTACTGGCTACTGCGTTCTAGAACTGCTGACGTTCGAACAGCTTCAGTATTTCCCGTAGTTCTTGATTAGCTTCTACAAAGTTCTTGGCGTTGTCGCACATAATCAACGCTGGACCTTCTCGACGAGCGGTGGAGCGTTTCAATGCTGCTAGAAATGCTTCGGTGGTGAGATCGGCGACAAGTTCAATGTGTACTGCCTTGGTGACGAGGCACACCAATACAGGAACATAGCACTTCACGGGAGGACTACGACGTTGTGGATAGGTGACCAGGAACGGGCCGCAGTAATCCACACCCACCTTCATGAATGTTGGTGCTGGAATTACTCTTTCCGGTGGAAGCTCGGCCATCAACTGTTGTTGACATCGGTGATGCATTCGTGCAGGATTCATCGTACAATGTTACGGATGTTCGTGTGCTTGCGATCAGAACTTGTTGCCCGGATTGAAGCATCGTCAAGTGGTAATGCCGAATTACCAGTTTAGCGAGAGGATGGCGATGGTCGAGTATCATCGGATGCTTCCGACTCTCCGATACCAGCGCATTCTGCAGCCGACCGCCAACGCAAACGATGCCCTCATGGATCTGAGGATTCAACGATGATATCCTGGACGAATCTTGAACCTGCAGCTTTCGGGACAAACTTGCTATCTCCTGCGGGAAGCATTCCTTTTGTGACAGTCGAACCAAGTTCTTGAGTGCATCTTCATACTCCTGCGTTCCGATGTACCCGAATTTCCTGGAAGTTCGGTTAGCTCTCTACACAGTTCGAAAAGGTAGTGTAAATTTCTGTTCAATATGATGCACATAAATGGAGCGTCACATATCATATACGTTTACATTATATATCATGTAAAGTTCTGACACATTTCATGCAATGTAGCAAATATTGTATACAAAAGCCCATATTTGTAAACAATATTGTTTGCAAGTTACTCGGTGGCGTGAAATGAAATACAAGTCTACGTAAATGAATGTTTACATCACAATTAAAATTCAGAATTTTTATCTGTTTATTCATTGTGGCGAAATCGGCGAATCCAGACCACCATACGAACTAGACTGAAGAGCGACGAGTAGAGCGAGAAGATTTCGCTCGGTGGAGAAGCTTGTAGCGACATGGCAATGGTGCTACGTCCTTCAAAAAGTGCTGGATCAAGCTGATCAATAGCTACTTCAGCATTCTCGGGCCAGTAACTTCTACTTTGGTGTAGCCAGATGGGACCTCTGAACCAACTGTTCTGGTATTCAAGCTGATATACCTCTTGAGAGAACGTCGGCTGGGATTTGTATTCCTGCTAGGTAGTTCCACACTCCTCCTTCTGTAAGATGTTGGATCTCGGACACCCTATTTGCAACAAAAGTCTGCCATCGTGATAGAGTGGAAGCAATTAAAAATTTGACAATGTTGGAGTCCGTCCAGAAATACGAGGGAACGGCCAGTTGAGTGCTATGACGCACCTTTTGATATAGATGGCTGAGTAACAGAGCGGACGAGAGTTCTAGACGGAGCGTAGACTGCTTGCGTTTCTTCTTTTTCAAATCCTCCAGCGGCGCTACTCTTGACTTCGATATCATTAGCTGGACTCGAACCGATCCATCAGCGTACGTGCATCGAAGATACAAGCAAGCACCGTAAGCGCTATCAGAGGCGTCGCAGAACCCGTGCCATTCAATAGATGTGCATTTCTTGCTGCACCCAACCCATCTGGGAATGGTAATGGATTCCAGGGCAGCAAGCGGCTCGTCCCAACTCACTTGCAGTTTCCATAACGTTTGGATGAAGATTTTGGCTTCAACAGCGACAGGTCCCATCAGTCCCAAAGGATCGAATAACTTCGACGCATCGGAGACGATGGTTCTTTTCGTAACGGTTGGGGTGGGATTCCATTTGGGAGCGGTGAAGCAGAAGTTATCGGTTGTCGGACTCCAGAAAAGAGCCAAAGTTTTGACGGTAGCGGACGATGCAGGCGAACCCATGTCAAATACCGCCCATTCATCTCGTAGATGTGATGGAAGCTCGCTCAGAACTTCTTCGCTATTCGAATTCCACTTGCGCAAAGTGAATCCAGCTAAATTGGTCAGATTGACCATTTCCTCGACTAACCTTCTTCCTTCTTCTGGATTATCAACCACAGTGATCATATCGTCAACGTAGAAATCTTTCCGCAGGATGTTAACAGCGATCAGGTGTGTTGATTCTCCATCTTCTGCTAACTCTACCAAGCAACGAGTCGCTAGAAAAGGAGCCGATGCTGTACCGTACGTAACGGTCGTCAGTTGGAAAATATCGATCGGATCATGCGGGGATTTCCTCCACAGAATCAGGTGCAACTTCTGATCGAGCAGGAACATCTTAATCAACCGGTACATTTTGGCTACCTCTGTTACCATTCCGATGCGATGTAAACGGAACCGTGTGTGACTGGAGATAAGATCATCCTGGACTACAGGGCCAGAGCGAGAATCCCGATGTAGTTTTGCACGAAGTATAGAATACAACCCGCAGCTTCGTTGTTGTGCTATCCGGTTTCAACGCGGCATGGTAGGAAATAGCACGCTGACTCGGACAGATCTTCTTCTTGTACCTTCTTCTTGTGACCCATCGACAAATTCTCCTCCATGAACTCGCAATACAGCTCCTTCAGCTGCGGATTGGTATCGAATCGGTTCTCCAAGCTTGCAAATCGTTTCTCAGCGCTACGCCTTGAATCTCCCAAGCGTTCAATGATGTGCTCCTTTTTGGACAGCGACACCACCAAACGGCCATCGTCGTCAGGAACAGTTTCCTGCCGTTTCCTTATTTTGTTTGGTGGAGGTGCGATCAGTTGGCCGGCAAGGAAGCAAATCTGCGTTGCCCTATCTTCAACGGAGGCTGAGTTCATTGCTCCTGCAGAGGCATTTCAAGAACTTCTCTGGATTAGGAAGCCTATTAATGATTTCCACGAG